TAGTACTGGCGAACGGCCAAGCGGTACGCTGCTCCCCCCAGCAATCGCCAGATCTCTTCCGGGCCGCGCTCGTCTCGCTGGGCGCATTAGGCATTATCGTCGAAATCGAGTTCCAGATGATCGAAGCGAACAACGTCGAATGGATACAGACTATATTACCGATTGAAGACGTTTTGGCAGATTGGAACAACGGGCTCTGGACATCGAGCGAGTTCACGCGAGTATGGTGGCTACCGTACATGAAGCGCGCAGTCGTATGGCGGGCAGACAAGACGGACAAGGCACATCGGCAGCCGGAGTACAACTGGTATGGCGGTAGCGTCGGCTTCCACACATACCACATTCTCCTCTGGATATCGCAGTATGTCCCGCGCTTCCTACCTTGGGTTGAGTGGTTCGTCTTCGGCATGCAATACGGTTTCAAGGATGGTGCTCTCATCTCTGCGGTTGGCGAGCAGCGCACGGAACTGTTGATGAACTGCCTCTACTCGCAGTTCGTCAACGAGTGGAGTGTTCCTCTCGATAAAGGCCCTGAGGTACTGTCGCGACTGACGGACTGGTTGCACGGCGACGAGCAGTCTTCAGGCATCCCGTTCAGCACTAAAGGTCTCTACGTCCACTCGCCCATCGAAGTCCGCATCGCAAACACCGTCAACCGAGAACTGCGTCCATTCCTAGACACCTCATATTCCGATCAACCTGCTCTGTACCTCAACGCCACGCTGTACCGTCCCTACGGCCAGGACCCCCCTTGCCGTGAACGCTACTACCAGGCCTTCGAACACCTGATGAAAGAGTACAACGGCCGACCTCACTGGGCAAAGAACTTCCAGTCCGTCGACAACGCCTACCTCTCCTCTGTATACGGCAACGACCTAGACGAATACAACCGCGTCCGCAACGAAGTCGACCCCGAAGGCATGTTCCTCGGTGCCTGGCACCGTCGCACCATCCTCCCTCCCAAGACCGATCTCCCACTCCTACCCCTCGAAGAAAAGGAAATCGTACGCCGCGACCGACGCACAGGTGGAGTCGACTGGATAGGCGAGCAAGCCCGGTGGTTCGATGGCGGTGCTGATGTATTCGAGAAGGCGGGCAGCGAGTCTGGCGAGAGCTTCGATTACATGGCCGGTGCGGAAGCGGAGAGCAGTGTGTTATTGGAGAGCTTGAGCGATGAGCTTATTGTTACGGAGGAGACTTATGAGAATGTTACGGAGAGTCGGAGGAGAGAGGGGACTGAGGAGTATGTTACGGGTACGAATGTGTTCAATAAGATGTAGATGTCATTGTATATAAAAGGAGACGGGGATACATGTACATGGTGGGGAAATACACCACTCAATGAAGATATGATAATGATGTAGCAGTATTGCGATGCTTGCTTGTCTCCATTGCCGTGATACATGAATGTTGTACTTCTGGGGTCGCTTGCGTACCTGTGCGCCCAATCGGGTAAGGCGCATCCGTGACTTCCCATCGTCCTATTTCCAACATTGACGCGGCTGCCACCATCACTTACGTTCACTACAGTCAATCGAAGACATGGTGACTATCAACGAAGACATGTCGTCGACTGCATATCCTTCTCCCTGTGGCGATCATCGCGATCAGCGATCGACGATAATATATCGAGCGGATGGACCCGTTGGCAAGAAGCCGGCTCCAGATGTGAACATGGACAGCAGCGTCTCACTACTTGCTAGGGGAAGGTGCTGCACTGCGTTCTTCTGCATAGCTCTCGTTGTGTCCCATCGTCACTCGACCAACAGCATCACAGTGTCGATACCATGCAGTTGCATGTCCGGTCAACCGTGTACTGGCGATAAAGCAGTACGTCCGCGGAGACTACGCCTTCCCATGGAATATGTTCAATTTTGCTCAGCATTCAACTTTCTCATGCCCGAAGATTGGTCCTCCAAATTAAAGGCCTCACGGATGAGGAGACCCGTAACGAGGACTTCTATCACAGTTCGACGCCACATGCAGCCACCCCTTACGTCTTCTCGGCTGATGGGCGTTATTTCCGCTTGCGAGATCATGACCCACAAGTAATATATCTCCTACCTTGGCAGCCACGTTTTGAGCTTGGCATGCAGCCACAACACGAGGAAAGCTTGGCCGATTCTAGAAGGTGGCCGACATAATTGCTTGGAAGTCTGCTTGCAGGGATATGGGAGAAAAGGAAGTCAATGCAGGGAGTTCAAGGCGAACGATATTTGAACGAGCGATTAGATTGACACATTACGGACTAGTTCGAACGACCCGCATCGCCCGTATCTACAGTCTAATTCGGACAGCAACCGAAGCGCCGCTATTGTCTGTTCTTGCACACCGACTGCTTTTCCGATTATCCGCGATCCTGCCTGACCTAGGAAGTCTGCACATAGATGTCCGAGCTGCCAGAAGACTGGTAACCCTCAGTGGCGACGATCTGGTAGTAGTGCTGGCCCAAGTTCATGCCGTAACGAGCCCAGGCGTTGAAGTGGTTTTGCATGTTGACACTGCCACCGACGCGCTTCTGCGTGCGGACAGACCTGAGAGTTTGTTAATGTGCGTCCGGCATCCACATGTCGCTTGCAGACTTACCAGTACTGCTGAAAGGTCCTTGTTCCATCGATGGAGGGTTGGTTGGTACGGGTGGACGTGGAAACGTCGTAGGTACCGCCGTCAGTCGTGAAGCTGCCCTTGCGCTGGGATCCGCTGCTGGGGTTGTAGGTGCCGTAAGACTCGATCACGTAGTACTCCACAAGCGGGTTGCGGGTCCAACCGTAGACGGCAAGGTAACCGTTACCCTGAGGCTGGAAAGATCCGCCGTAGTTGATCGTGCTAGGATGGGGATCAGCAAATGATGAAGCTTAGTTCTTCCAGATGACATACCGGCCGGTTCCAGGGTTCCATCCCTTGCCACCGACGAAGTTGCCGGTGTTCCTCCAGGTCACGGAGTACCTGCTGCCCTCTCCCATGGTGTACTGAGCGGAACCACCGCCATCAGTCCACCACGAGTAGAAGTACCCGTTGTTGTAGCCCTCAGAGCTGGGAGTGGACTGACGCTTCTCAAGAGCAGTTGCGTTGCCATCGTCACGCTCAGTGAGGAAGTCAAAGGGAGCGGCGAGCACGCTGGTGGTAGCCACAGCGGCGAGAAGGAGAGACTTGAAAGAGACCATGTTGAGCTGAGTTGGAGATCTGTGCTGGATGCGGTGATGATACTGAACCGCGAGCAGCAGCGAGCTTATATGTCGACTTCGAGGTGGAGATGAGCCTGAATCGCTGGAAGAAGTCGCCTTTGGTGGTCATGAGGTATCATCTCGCCTCTGTCTACATCCGTCTTGGTGTCAACGACGATGGTGTGTTCCAGTCCTCTCATTTCGAAAAGCACGCCCAGCGCACTGACTAGAACGGCCTAGGAACCACGAACACGGCAAGCTGCACCGTTCAGTGACCGGCCTCGGTAATCATGGAAAAGATAGAAGAGCACAAAGATCCATGCCCCTTGCACACATCTGCACGACACCACAAAGATAATATCGCTGATCCGGGCTTTACACGCTTTCTCAACCCGGTTCACAGGATGTTAATATAAAAGAACGCCACTAGGGTACAGGTGGTCGCCTTACCCCACACTCCTCGGAAGACAACGAAGCTTGGGAGGAACACCCGCCGCGCTAATGTCATGTAGGCGATGATATTGTTAGCGACAGTGGCGCACGTGATGAAACATTGGGCGCTCATGGCGGGAAGCCTCGGCAAACTCAGGATAACCACCGGATGAAGAGGATCTGCCAAGATGTATAGTAGCCGGCTTTTCTACCGATCCTGGTAAGACATGCCAAGCGCGGTGGGTATCTTGAGCGGAGATGATGTGTGGAGTGCATGAGTGGATCTCGAGGTCGGTGAGTACATGAAAACAATGTTACTATGCACTACATGAACGCATAATGGTGGTGTTATTACTGACAGGTCAAGGCACCCCCGGAAGTGTATCGAGGTTCGCGAACTCTTCACAGTTCACACATTCGATGTTTAGGAGATCATCATTTCGCGAACTCTCATTCTGCCTTGATCACCTGTACTCAGTTAGGCGATCGACACGATAGTATCTGACTAACAATATGGACCACAGGATGAACTGCTGGTGCAACACCATCCGAAGCGACCACCAGTATACAGCACTAACGGCTTCGCGTACAGCATCGGGGCACTACGGCTGCGCTTGTAGGTCGCGCAACTTGCCCAGTTCTCTAGATCCAAGACCGCCGAATGCTTCATATTAGCTGGCAAGCCGGTGGCATCTAGAAGTCGTACGAATTTACCCAGCCATGTCCTTGATGGCGCGTAGATCAGGGTCGGTCCATCCGATGGCTATCACGGCATCATCGCGGAAGAAGGAAACATGAAGGACGTAGGCAGGGATGCCATCCGGTTTACAGTAATACACCACGGTGGAAAGGAGTATCTGCATCATGGTGTGTGGCAACGTCAACTTCAGCCGCTGCTGTATACCGGTGTAGATTCTTGTCCCTGTGTGACTAGTCTGGCTGCTGCTATGAACGATATCGGCCTTCCAAGATCTTGTGCTGTTTCATCTACGCGTTGTGGATATCAGATCTTGCCGAGTACGATTCCCGGAGTCATCTCATGACCCACCAAAGCTCCTGCTTACCACCGACCCCTGACAAGCCTTGTTGTTGTTTGCCACACTTCGGCTGCGCAGGCTATACGACTTGGAAGATCAGCTTTGCGTTTCGTACGAGCGATGCGTACAAAATTTCGCAGTGCAAAATTTGAACGCGTGAAAATCTAGCCAAAGGGTTTGAGTACGCTTATACGCAGCTGATTGCTCATCACGCGGAGAGATTGGAAGGAAAGCTCTTTCGAACGGATGTGTTATACTACCAGGACATTATCTTCACCGAACAAAGCTAGCATGGACTATTAGGTGACTCTGATCACGGCGACAGACAATATGTGACGACGTTTTACTTCTCTTCATCCACCCAGACTCACTTGTTGAGACATGGTCTATCCGAGCTCGCAGTCTCATGTGAGCCTGCCAGAGCGCTTCGCAACACGCCCACGATGCCTCCAGAAGCGGCCTGTTGCTGTTGCATTTCCTCACGACCCAATCGGTCCCAAGCCGCACACAATTCGATGACCGTGACCTCGTCCTTCGCATCGAAGCACAGCTGTGCAACAAATGATGCAACAGTTGTTGTACCAAGCTTTACTGTGTGCTGAAGAATGCTACTGCTCAGCACACTTTGTGCTGTGTATAATGACGGTAGAGTATGAACCCCTCGCTTCTTTCGCTCGATATTGACGAACTTTAGGAACGCGGTCACCACGGCATTCCGAGTAACCTTGCCGCTCTCCTCGGCCTCCATGACTTCAATGTAGGAGGAGAGGGGCTCCGTACCGAGACGCATTACACTCACATCGGGATCATAGTTGGAAGCTACAGGTACTTGAGGGCTAGTCGACGCTGTCTCCGCAAGCTCTCCAATGGAGAGCTCGCTCAGTGGTGCGTCGCGAAGCTCTTTTTTGCTGCCTGAGCGTGTGGTTGATTCGAGGCTTCCTTGCTGCGTCGCAACAACTTCGCACTTCTCGATACTGACCGATGCAGCCTCGTCCGAACCGGTATTCGAACCGTCCGCATTGCTCGAGCGCTCTTCGCGATCGAAACTATACTTGGGTGTAGGTTGTAGACACCGACCGGGTACTTCGAGGCTCTCCAGCTCCTCACTGACCTCAACATCGTGAAGCCTGTCGCGGATGCCGAGGTCTGACGGAGCGGCCTCAACGCGACTGTCAATACTCTGGGACCTCTCATCATGCGCGTCACCCAGACCGTCAAGGTAGCTTTTGTTCGGAGATGCGACCGAGTCGAAGTCTGATCCGCCGTCATCCTTGATGGTTTCCACGTCGTGTAGAAGCTGGTCGTACGCGATGCATTGGATCACACCATCCGCGCTCGCTAAGAACATCCGACTACGAAGTATGCTTTCAAGTGACAGATTAGTGTTGGTCTCGTCGAGACCTTGATCCACTTCGTGGTATATAGCACGGCCAATTTGCTGGGGTGTGTAGTACGGCACAAGCGCCCGCTCCTGATGTGTATCCTCCGACGGTACTTTCGTCTTTTTCTGGCTATCAGCAGCTGTGAATGGAAACTTGGATGTGTATACAGGTGCAGGGGCGTTGGCAGTCGTGGCATCTCCGAGCCGCGTAAAGATCGATGACTCTGTCGCATCCGATTTTTGTGATAACGCTTCCTTGAAAGCTTTGCTTGATGCTGCGGCGGTCGTAAAAGTAGGGCTACCTAGCTCTTTCACGAAGGCTTCGCGGAAAGCCAATGATCTTGGACCTTCATACTCAATGTCCTCAACATCCTGGGGGAAAGAAGATCCACACTCGTGGTTGAAAACGTCAATGGTGTTTGAGCGTTCACCAAATGTAGCAACGCCAGTGGGAGCTGTGAAGGTGAAGCTATCGTTGAAGCTGCCCAGGGACTCTAGAGGCAGTGCGGATAACGTAGGCGGAGGAACTGAGGACTGAGACTGAGCGACATCAGTGCTCGATGGCGGTACCTGCTGTAAGGTAGTTGATATAGATGGAGCAGCGTCGAAATCTCCAGGCGACATAAGGCTGGAGTGCTGAGAAGTGGAAACAATAACATTCCGTGTCGATGTTGCGCTGTCCTGGGTAGGTACGAATGGAATGGCGGGCGTGTCGAACCGCTCAGGCTCAATAGTACCGACTAGTGTATACTTTACGTTACTCGGAGGAGCCTCCTTAGTAGCTGATGCACCTTGTTTCTTGGCGGCTCTCTTCGCTGCCTTCTTTAGTCCCTTGGTCAGAGGTAGGAGAGGCATGCTGGCGGCGGTCGGGCGTGTATTTGTGAATAGCCCTCTTATTCCCTTGAAGTGTTCTACAGTGTGAGCGGGACGGTCTGTTCGAGACAGACGAATGTTATGTGATGGGTAGGCGCCGCAGGTGTAGTTGAACCGAGAAGTGTACAACCACCGCGTCCGAAGTACCTAGGTTGCGGTTCCAGCTTCTGTGGATGGGGTAGAGAGTGAAGGTAAGTATAGTAACTCGAAGGTGGCCATTTTTGCGAAGACTTGGCAAAGGCGCGATCGTACGCACATGAAAGTGGTGAAAGCTCCATACACATGATGTGAATCAAACCCTAGAAGCCATCACTCGGGTGATGACGCGCCATTGCAAACTATGTGGAGGAAGTACATACATATTGCTCTCTTAATGTATGATTTAGCGTATACTTGTAGTAGAAATCTCGTAGTGAATCCAGAAGAATAGGTGCGTTGCGTTTCTATAGGCTAACGGGTGCTTTCCACATCTGTCTGGTTTAGTGTAGCAAGCGTTTGGCTGAAATGAAGTCATTGTGCTGACTATCTCGTAGTTTGGACGTTGGCAAACTTTGCGAATATCTATTCGTGGTCTTGATTGTTCGCGAAGATAATCCTATCATCGCTTCCGAACTCGACGTGGATGTGCTATGGACACTAAGCACGAAGTATTGGTTGGCATATTGGAAACAGCAAAACGTTATGCTTGGTAAAACAGCTCCTAGTAGTACATGCGCGAGATACTTTAGCAGAACCTTGAGGTGGTGGTTACACTTCACAGTAACAGGTATATGCCTGAGTAGGTAACATTTGCACGAGATGAGCAAACCGCCGAAAATTCCATAGCGTACAACCTTGGAAGAGCGTTTCAAAACAAGCCTAGCGCGGACGCGTTCTTACAATGAAAGTGGCGTGGCATTTGACCCTGAGGGCTCAAAACACTACGCACTAACAGTAAGGCCGATGACAGGAAGCCACACTATACCATAACCTGATCCGGACCGAAACAGTTTAATATCGAAAGAACGCGATGGAGTCTAAGAGACTGTCGGAATCTCAGCCATTGTGATCGATACGGTTTCAAGAATGAAGATAGCTGGAGAAGATGTACTTCTTCGGCGCGTTCTAGTGAGCACTAGTAGTCACTAGCGCGACGCGTCCGTATGAACGCCTACAGGGATTCAAAAGTTCTTCATATAAAAACATGACGATACCCGTATTATTTCTGCAAACCTCCAGCTAATACAGAATGTCGAATCCCATTGTTATCGAGGTGAAGAATGAGGTGGAAGGGGACACCTACTCGTATGATGGCACATTGTACAGAATCAATGGAGAACGTCGTCTCGGCATCGATAGAATTCTCGTCACACTTTTCAACATGAACAAAAAAGAGATGCGTAGACACGGATTATTCTGGGGTGTAATCTCTCCTGCGGACTTGGGCAAGGAGGAAAACTACGTCAGGATTAAGATGCTGCGACAAGGACTGGAAAAGCTGAAAGCTGGCCGCGTGGCAGAGGAATTGGCAAGTCCCGTGTTTCCTTACTTCAGTTCAAAAATCTAGTTCTTCCAGTCATGTTCCTCTGACTAATGATCATTGCAGCTGCCAGTATATCCGAGACAGATATTCGAGAACCTTGCCACAGACTGGCACAGGAGGCATGGATGGCACATTACCCCTCCATCTACGCCACCGGCAGCAAAAGCTGTTAAGAGGGAGCTCGATGAACCCATTCCGGACGACTATGAGATTCTGTCCAGTAAGAAGATCAAATCGGAAGAGTTCACAAGCGATGGTGTTGACGCAGCCATACCCTCACATGCAGGGGAGTATGTGAACAGTTATTGGGGGAAGCAACCCGATAATCCATGGACTCCAGAACGCAGCGAGGATGAAAAAGATCTCATGGGCCAGCACGAGGCGTGCCGTACCAAGCAGACTTTCGTTGCGGCTATGGGTACTTATTGGATTCAGTGCCCACTCATTGAGGCTACACACCCAGAACTAAAAAGCAGTCTGCGCATGGTCGTTCGAGCTCTTGATGACCATACACAGGAACGCGGCTTGCTAGAGGCCTACCTCAACCTTGGGCTATTGAAAGGGACCATGGTCATGGCGCCTGACCTTGACATAGTCCAAGATTGGTGTTACAGACACCAGAGTCAGCGTTCAAGAGATGGTGGCAATGGGAAATGCAAGATCGACAAGGAGACAGAAAGACTTCGAGACGTTCTAGAAGAGTTCAAAAGAGTAAATGGAGTACCTATCGACGCGACCATTAAATCGCCGCCTCTCGACTTACAAAAGCGACTCGACCTCGACTGCGAAGCTCGACTATACGAGAACAGACCATCCATTGGTGGACCCATTCGGATCTCTGGCAATACCGCGCATCTCGAATTCCGGGAAGGTAGTTTATATTTCGAAGGCAAGATCAACCTTCCTATTATCAGCGACACGCCTGTAAAGATTTGTGGTTACAGGATCAAAAGCGATGATTCTTGCACCGTTGAGAAGTGGTTGGATTACGATACGTCGAAGGTCAAATATGGGGCGGCGTGGAAGAAGTCTTGACTGACAGAAGATTTCGTTTGTTGACCGATGTTAATGGGGTAGATTTGTCGCTAGTTATCAGAGTAGGTATATGAGCAGCAGTGCGCTGCGTGTGCCGCGCGATCTTTAGCCATATGAATACTTTTTCCAGTTCTGCTGTTGTCCGCTTTCGACTGTTGCTTTGTCAGGTATCAATGTACACCGCAACGTGTGTCATCGCGATCTGTGGCTGTGGTGTGAAAGACCCTGCAAACCTTACAGACAGCGCATTGTGAGCGTGTTAATGCGCGGATGCATCCTTCTGTATGCCTGGGTCAGCCCGCTGGGTCCGCAGTGAATGCTGACACTTTGCATGTAACAGTGCCGTCGCTGCTAGTGTGCCCAGGTGTTGAGAAGAAGAAGCTGCATGCATGACGCGAGTCGTAACTTCAAGCTGCTCACTCGTGTCTTCGACGCCCACTCCAAATGCGCGCGGCAATACTGCGAGCATCGTGATGCACTATGCCACCCAGTTGGATCTAGACATGGAGTTGACAGTTTGCTGAACCTTCGCGCTAGGCTCGGGACAACTCGTGGAGATTCTGTGGAAAGGTGCCTGACTGCTGAGAGCGACTTGTCGCTTTCAGATGGCCGGCGCTTGTCATTGGTCGGCGAGCAGCGGGTCCTAGATGCCGCAGTGTCAGCTAAGGCCAACACGCGTCTCGGCAAGCATCCCCACCTGCACCCTGCGTCCGCCCGCAGGGGTATCGCCATGCACCCATATACATAGATAATTAGATATGCTGTCACCATCGACAGCATCGACACACAAGCGTCATTCCCGTCTTACCTTCACTTACTGCAAGCCTGACTTCACAAACTCAACTCCCATCACCAATTCCTTACGACAATGGCCAAACCATTGTCTGCCAGACAGACCTGGGCCGGAATGTCCTATACATACAATGGGTCGCTTCACCCGCGCAAACGAATGCAGATAAACAACTGCTACCTTGAGCTCAAGGAGGATGTCGTGCAAAAGCTCATTAACGCGCGACTCGAAGTGGAGGACGTTTCGGAGGAATGGCTTCAGGCGCAGTTGTTGCTCCGCGGTTTCGGTCGTCCTGGTGAAGAACTTCATTGGACGAAGCGCAACATGATCTCGCGTCTCGCGCAGATCATCCCAATACTAGAGGACAAGTACTACATTATTAGTATCCAATTATACATATCTATTTCCCATCATCCTAACCCATCTCCAGAGCGCCTTGGAGCATTCCATCGAAATCTTCCACAATTTAGAAGAGATTTGGGCCAAAGCATACCCTAAACACCCAGCTTCGAAAGAGTATCTAAAGAACAATACACCACATAACGCCTCCCGGTGCTGGTGCTTTGCTACGCAGCGAAAGAACCTACTCACTAAAAAAACATTGCCTGCCACAGTGACAAAACCGAAGCCGAACGTGGACCGGGTGGCATCGCCTGCACCAGAGAATGAAGACACGACCAACATCAATAATCTCAAGACATCTGCGGCACACAAACGACCACGACCAAACGCCGCAGAGTTGGGCGAAGCCTCTAACCATCCTCACAAGAGACAAAGGCTCCCGTCGCCTAATCCTGAGGCGGACATCGATAACGGGGAATGCCCATCATCCTTGATCGCGCCAACTTCAGGCGCGCCCCCAACGCCGCCGGAGGACGTGGACCATCTGCCCCGTGAAGTTGCAGGCCCCTTGCGTCAAGCCAGTATGAGTCTCTCGGCAATCGGCGAAGAACACTGGAAATTCAAGCTGCATGACTACATGGGTCATATAGCGGGTACCTACATGATTTTATGTCCTTTGCTTGCAGAGAGACATCCAGATCTCATTGGGCAGCTCAGCATCACAATCAAATATTTGGGTGCTTCCTCGCTTGCATCTGGCATACTCGAAGCCTACTTCAACCTTGGCACGTTTACTGGTCCGGCAATCCTTGGGCTCGACGATGGTCGCATCGCTGAGTGGCTTTGGGCTACGGCGACAGAAAGACGAGGCAGACGCGCTCCCCCTTCTTATAACAATGCCGAAGTCAAGAGGCTATGCGAGGACGCACTAGACTTGGCTATGGAAAGAACACCAGAACGAAACCGGGCTAACGTGGAGACTCGACATCTTAGGGATCTTCCCGCTCTTGATATCGATACTACCGCGTTACCTCAGCTTCTGTTCGACGCTCGGCTTGAAAATCCGAGTGGCGAATACTACGGCTCAGGTACGTATTGCATTGCTTAAGGAGAGATCAAATTTGAAGAGCGTGGCTTGCGTTTCAGCGGAGTGATCAGGATACCGGAAATCGCTGAGGGTGACCTGGAATTTGATGGCTTGAGGGTCTTCCGCAGAAATGAAGGTGACCTCCCGCAGAAGTGGAAAGATGTTCCTACAAGTAAGGTACATCACTGATGGAGGACGCTCACCCACAGATCCTCGGCGATTACACGCTGGGGTTATGTTACTCGAATGAATCTGGTGTTTGGCTTTTGCTTCAAGTAGCTAAATTTTTCTGACCCCGATAGATCACGCACGAGAGTTGCGCATGATCTGGCTCGGAAGTATGTGTTACACCCTGTATTTGCCGTTTCGCCCTGTGCATTGGGCGCTCGTCGCTGAACTTCAGGGTGAGCTCGCTTTCGGCCCGCTGCACTGACCCCGCTTTCCCGCGCGTCGCCCGAGTTGATACCTTGATACCGATCGTCCACACATAGCGCCTACAGAAGCAAAGCACCGTATCTCACCGTATGCTTACATCCTTACTCCTTCCCTCTCCCATCATCCAGTTGTTGAGTAAGTTTCGAGGTCGGAAGAGCAACGTCAGCACTTGATATGGTCTTACAAGCAGGTAACATTCGTCAAGCGCAGAATGTCAATATCTGCCGCATTCACGCCGAACTTGAGATCTGCATACAGTTCTGACAGACACCAAGGCGTGCACGGCTATTCAGAGATCGGGAAACTCCCGATGATGGCTTTCATCAACCCATGTTCGGTGACTTGAGCACCGGCAGGCCGCTGTGCACGTTTGCCGTTGTACCTGTCGCGGAGATCTGATGGAGAGCCGGAAAAAGATAACACCAAGACATGTAAGCCCACGACCATTCTGCCTCGTCAGGTCTTCCTATCTTCATACACTCACTTGCCCCACCTTTGTTCTCCGCTTCTGCAAATCGATCTGAGACTACTGTCATCACGTGACGGCGATTTTCACTGCGGATCCGCTTGCAGTAATACTACTCCAAGTTTGCTCTCAGAACTGATCTACCCTTCGGCGTATTGCACATTCAGTCATCGCTTCACAAATCTTGTTTTCTCACTTTCGCACCATCATCATGCCTGCTGCAACCCATTCTCTCGAGACCATGGTCCTCCAAGCCCACCGCGCAAAAGGCGTACGCTATCCGACAGCCTCTCAGAAAGAATGCTTCAAGACCTGGTACTCTTACGCGCTTCGTCAGGGTGAAGTCACGAAGACTTCCCCGAAAGTTATCGAGGAGCACGGAAAACATCTCAAAGAGATCAAGGAAGCGGCGCCAGGTGGGCGAACGTATCTTTGAGCTGGTATGTTTCTTAGCCTGCACAAAAGCTTGCAACTGGCTTACTGACACGCTTAGACAGGATTTCGAAAAGTGTTTCAGATTTGCCTTCGCACGAACTGGCGTCATCAGTCACCTTGAGAGTGTTTGGTTTTGTTATAATAGCAGTGTGCTGATAATAGTTCGATCTTAATCCTTTCTTTTTGCGTTACACCGACTCCTTTCGAGACAATTATGTCTCCCCTAGCGATTCGCAACTAGTTTGACGCTTTAATCCACAATCTGTCTCTATAACTTCGTCGTGTGGGCCTGTATCTCATTTATCACCGTAGTTTGCGAAGTCGCCGATCGTTACTAAATCTAGGCCCACTGTGGATACTAGCGCGCGACTGCGTCTTTTGACGCCGTACGCGATCTCATACACGCTTTTACCCTCATGCTACCATCTCTTTGTCTTCCTGCGCTGCACATGAATTGTTGACTTTTTCGATAACCAAACCAAACAGCGAATCTCTGCATCAAGGTCAGGCGTCTAACAAGTTGCGCACTTCCCTTCACTCGCCTTGTCCTAGCCGCTGCTTGCAGCTTGCCCAGGTGGCACGCTCATAGCAATCACCAAGCTGCGCTACAAACGGCATCCCATAACACGACTTCAGTGGCATATCCAGGCGCTGTAGTCATTGTGAACACTGGATCATATATATGCGCTTCGCCGCATACCTACCGTTTCACTGCTCTGACAATCGATTTTATGCTCCAACGGCGAAGCATGCATTCCAAACACGCCTCTATCTCCAACTTAATCTCTGGACATGATGGCTGCTATGATACCATCCCTTCCTAACCTTGGAAGACTGCAACCCCACTACGAAGGTTGTAAGCAGTACTCCCATGCGCATCGGCGCTCCTAGAAGATCTATCAAGATGTCACGACGCTTACACCTCGGTTGCATGGCCGGCTCACCTTCACCTTCACTATATCTCATCTGAACGATGAAATGGCGCGCTATTGTGCCATCACAAGGTGCGAAATCTCTGACCGGCGACCGCAACTACCAATAAGAGCTTCAGGATAACGCATGTGAAACGTGTGTGTGTGTGTACTGCGAGAGAGAGGCGCGCGACCTTTCAACCATGAGGGTGAAATCTCGTCCCAGCCACTTTCAAAAACCTCCGTTACTCACTTCTACAAATTCAAACCCACCGGGAGCCGCAGCTTTCTCCTTCTCAACTGCAACTCCCACATCCGCTGCCTGATCAGGACCAGTCTCAACTACAGCGCATATACACCGTCGCCCGCGATACAGTTTCCAAACCCGGAGGAAAAACCAACATCTACGAAAAGATGAGCGCTACTCACCTTGCCTCCGTATATATCCCAGGACAGCTTCGACGCCTCGACGACCTGCCGCCCGAGCTGATTGTTATGATCGCGAGGAATACGAATGACGCCTCCGACATCTCATCGCTACGTCGCGTGAACAAGTTCCTGAGCGCGGCCATCCCCGCATGGGTTATCTCCGAGACGACTTTCTACATAATGCCTATGTCTAGTAGCATCTGGAGGATGGCACAAGCAGTGCAGATCCAGAGCACCAACCCTAGCTGCAACCTAGGATGTGTTCCGGCGGTAATCTTCGAGAACGTATGGCCGACACCGCCTGATGAGTTTGGCCTTCATGCAGAACTCACGGATCACGATGACTGGGAGGCCGACAGTGACGATGAGCTGCCGCCAAATTCGAACACCTATCTCCACTTCATAGATGGGTGCCATGAAGAGCGCGACTCTGCCCAGTTACGCGACTCCCTGGCACACTCACTGGGAAACTTTCATGGCGTCAAGGAAATGATCCACGTTCCCGGTTTCCACAATTCTCGACCAGCACAGGAGCGACCCTCCCGTGAGGAGCTCCTTCAGACAGTGCTGCTATATAACGACCACGATCCGGAGGATTTCGAGGACGAGATGTGGACTCGCCGACGCATGATGTTCGAGCCATATCAAGGAATCCTCGATCAAGCTTGCGCTAAGATGTTCGATCACGCTGTTGATGCCGTTCTCCGCAACCCGATGCGGAAAAACAAACTGAAAGTCTATATCGAAACGCATTCAATCTGCGCACTGGGGGATGTCGATCCAAGCGCGTCACCAATACCCGCCAGTCAGCTCGGAGATGTACTTGCGATAAAGTACATTGGTCGTTGGATGTCAACACTGGATGCCATGGTCTTCGACTTGGAGGTTCTGCACAATCAGAAGATCAACACAGCATCGCACTACGCGGGTATAACGCATCTCTCGATCAGCGGAGATGGACTGGGCAACGAGGGTTCAGTACACATGGGGCTCTTGGGCGGCCCATCGCACTCTCCAGACTGGTCACGCTTGGAGACACTACACCTCGACGATACTCAGCAGAACGACCAGTCTGCTGCTTTCCTTCGCCAGCAGAAGTGTAATCTCGAACTCCAAAACGTTTACTGGCTCGGAGGTTCGATCCAACGTTTTTCCAAAGGCTCGTCACTTCGAGATGTCAAGGCTTCCGGTATCTTCGCCATTGAGGAGATCAAGGGGCATGCCAAGGGCGTCTGGATTGTGGCAAGCAATCACAGGGAAGCCAACGAGATTGCGGTAAAGAATGCTGGGTATTGCAAGCCAGTGGCATTAGACTATGCCGTCCCCTTCGTCTCGCCAAGCGATGTTCAGCGGTACATGGTGAAGGGAGGTGTCTTGCCGTTCAGCAAGGCGAATGTATGGGCAAAAGACTGGAAGTTGTAGAGTTTCATACGTCTGTTGCAACTTCGTCGTTCTTGTCGCATCGCCGCACACGGCCACGCAAGCGCTAGGTGTCGCAATTATTTGTCACCGTTTGAGCAGATGGTTCTTATTCGACAATGGATTTCTAGGCACTCGCGAGTAAAGTTGGTATGCTAAAGTTGCCTTAACCCATGTCTGATGGCTCGGTGCGTCGCATGAGGTGTGGGCGGAGGATCGACTTGGATTAGATTGCAATTTAAGCCAGTGAAAGTGTATTCGTGAGCACTTTTTGAGGTGAACCTTCACGGGCCAAAAACCCCGGATATGTCGAGAAAACAAAGCGTGAAGCACCAGACTTTGAAGATGCCCAGGTATGGCGCCCCACGGGCGGCTGGACGTCATTGGGCCGAGGTCCTGGCAGCGCGTCATGCAGGTACCCACAGAGGCGGGGTACGCCTACTCACCCCAAAAGGGTGTTGTATCCCGAAATCCCGAATAGCATACACATCTTCTGGAATCAAGTAGATCATTAATCATTGCTTACCACATAGAGGCTACGATCGTACAACGTAGGATCTACTTTGCTCGTTGTTACTTAAACCTACTTTTTTTCTTCCCAAGAATTCGCCATCACAGCAATACATCCACAACGCACTTCATCTACACCACACGAAACAGCATACTACTATCCTACGCAAGAAATGGCGCCTCCATCTTTCCGTGACCTTCTTGGCATGCCCGCCTCTACGGCTTCGACTAGCGACTCTGCCCTTCTCATCATTGACGCCCAAAATGAATATGTAAGTAATAACCCATAGCTATCGAGCGGTCGGCATGCTTTCCCCCTAAATCTTGCAAGACAACTGCTGCCAGTTCATCGGCAAGGTTGATTGTTGCATTGAATGCAGCGATCTATTGCTGAACGTTCAATCTCCTTCTTGCCCACACTGGCTCTCTCCCCGCCCGCCGCATCGCTCTAGGGCTAACTCTACCGACTAGTCATCCGGCGCACTTACCGTAACAAATGCCGCAGCAAGCGGAAAGGTTATCGCCGACCTTCTCGACAAGTACCGCAAAGCAAACGGCAAGATCATCCACATCCTGCACCAGACACCCGAAGGCGCACCCGTCTTCACGCCTGGCACTGACCTGGCGGAAGAGTTCAAGGAGGTCAAAGCACAGGTACGCTGGCCACTAGGACATCTTAGGAGAAAGTGTCACTAACTGCTGATCAGGACGGAGAAGAGAAGATCTGGAAAAACTACCCCGGATCCTTTGAACAGACGTCTCTGCATGAGACATTAGAGAAGATGGGTGTTAAGAAGCTTGTCCTGACTGGTTACATGGCACACGTCTGCGTGTCTACAACTGCACGTGAGGCTTTCCAGAAGGGATACGAAGTCGTTCTGGTAGAGGATGCCATCGGCGATCGTGATATACCTGGTGTTAAGGGCGACGAGGTCACCAGGGTGGCGCTGGCAGAGCTAGCGGATGTGTTTGGCACAGTTGTCAAGAGCGCTGATATTAAGTAGACGAGCAAGAGCCATAGATTGAGACGATTGATCATATGCAATGACTGTAATAGAAATGCAATATCGCATCTCAAGCGCCGACACCCCTCAGTACAGTGACGGTATGCACGTACCTCACCGTCCCACCCTCAACCCTTATCTCATGACTGTCCGGCCAAGCTCCTAAGCTATCGAACTGGCAACTGACCTGCACACTACCGATACTCTCATCGATAACGTATCGCCTCATGCCATTCGCTTTCTGACTCCCTCCGTGCGGAAGACTCGCTCCACAAGGGTTGGTATACATGCTTCCCTCCACCCTCTCACATTGAGTACCCCAGGGTATAGTGTCGGCAGCAGTAGCATTCGTCCACATGTCGAGGTAGGCGTCACCGACAGACTTGAGGAGAGCACGTGAGGGTCGCGAGGCGGTGGGAAGGGTAGACCACGATTCGGCGCGGATGTAGGAAAGGGTCTTCTTCGCGTCGAAGAATAGGTCGCCGGTTGTGGCCGCTACGGTATCGATGGAGCTGATGGTCGACGTGTCGTTGTTCAGATGGCGGATCTGGGTGCTAACTACGTAGGGTTTGTTCGCAGAAGCGCTGATCCACATTGTGTAGCTGGCGCATGCTTCGATGTCGGTGGATGAGCGGTTGAGGTCGATGACGAAGGACGTTGAGAGAAGACCAGTCGCAATGTTGGAAGCCTTGTTGTTTTGCAGATATGTGAAGTTCGTGGGCGCGAGG